ATATATATATATATATATATGAATATATAATTGTTGATTCCTGGCTTGCAGTCTTTTTACCATTCCTTCCCTCAGAAAAACCATTGCTCCTTTCTAAGTTTCAGTCTTCTCATCTATAAAATAGGAAACTCTATCCTGAGGTAATTGGAGGATCCAAAGCAGATGTATATGAAAGGATATACTAATAAGAGATAGTAACAGTTATTTACTCTCTGGTAGCTGTTCTCACATTCCTGACAGGTCTTCACCATGCTCTCAAGTCAGCCTCCTGAATGATAGGGCTGGCACAGATACTGCCTGCTATTCATACCATATAACATGGTCATTGGTGTTCCTCAGTGTCCAGTGGGTAAGGCCAATGTTTGGCCTCACTTACTATTTACTACTCTTCCAGAAATGACCCAGCTGAACAAGGACTAGAGAGTGATCTGGGAGAATAACGGGCAGCTGGTGAGTTAGAATGCTGGGTCACATCTCTGTCAGAGCTGGACCCAAACTGAGTGTAGAACTCAGCCTCAAGGAATGGATGATTTGGCTAAACAGTGATAATGGTTTGAATATATCCCCCCCCCAGAATTTTATGTGTTTGAAACTTAATCCTTTAACTCATATTTGTAGTATTTGGGAGGTAGGGCCTTAGGGATGTAAGGATTAAATGAGATCATGAGGGTGAGGTCCCAAAGATGGCATTGGTGACTTTGTAGGATAAGCAAATCAGACTCTGGAGAGCATGCTTGTTCTGTCTTGCCATGTGGTAATGCTCTTTGCCCTGTTGTAATGCAGCAAGAATGCCCTCACAAATTGCATGCCATGTTCTTGGACATCTCAGCCTCCAGAAACAGGAGCCAAATAAACTTCTATTCTTTATATTATGACCTAGTCTCAGGTATTTTGTTACAGCAACAGAACACAAACTCCAGCAGCTTGGGAGGCTGAGGCAGGAGGATTGAGAGTTCAGTGCCAGCCTGAACAACTTAGCAATTGCAACTCAAGGAGACCCTGTCTCTAAATAAAATATTAAAAAGAGCTAAAGAGCTAGGAACATGTCTCAATGGTTAAGCACCCCTAGGTTCAATCCCCGGTACCAAAAAAAAAAAAAAAAAGTCAATCAAAAAGTGATGTGTGAATCAAAAAGTCCACCAAGCCATGCCTTGGTATAGGGGGAAGAGCAATAGGATCAAGACCAAGAGCAGGGTTTAAATTCTAACCCTAACATTTGTTAGCTGTGAAAATTTGGGACGGCCTATCTCTTGAGTCTATTTCCTCATCTGATAAAAAGAGATGATATGGTCTGACCCGTTTCCTCAACTTGTGTACACACACACACACACACACACACATACACCACACACGGACGCCTCCTATTGTTGGTCTTCTGTGCTGTGACACTGTATTTATCTGCTGCCTGTTTCAAGTCACTAGGCTGGGAATTCCTGAAGGCAGTTACCAGGCCTCCAGTCTCTGGCTAGCCCCTTGCACTATACCTTCTCACATATACTTCAGTCAATGTAAATTGAGTAAGTCAGTGAAGTCAAAGGAGCACGTGCACATGACAGGACCACTCATAAGGTACATAGGAGGGTCACATGAACTATAAGAAGGACTTTAATGTGATCCCCCAATCTGACAACAGACCAGATACAACCTCCTGCAGTGAGAGTGGAAACAGATATATAAGGACTTCTGAAGGCTCGGGACTGCCAGAGGCTGGCCAGGACCTGCTAAGTACTGTACTGGTAAGTACAGTCAGCTAATGAAGTTCTAATATCCCCTAAGGATCCCAAAAACCACAGATCTACACACTCGTGGTATTTGCCTGTAACCTATGCATGTTTTCTCAACATACTTAAATCATTATATTACTCATAACAACTAATAAAATGATAATGTTATTTAAATAGTTGTTATGTATATTGGTTAGGGAATAATGACAATAGGAAAAGAATATGAATAGCTGTTCAGTACCAAAAAAAATTTCCCAAATACTGTCAATCTGAGGTTGGTTGGATCCAAGGATGTGGACCCCAGTGATACAGAGGGCCAACTGTACTATGATGGATAGGTACATAAACCTGCATCTCATTTGTAAGAAGAGACCCATCGAAATAATTAAAACAGAAGCTGAGGTTGAAGCTTAGTGGTAGGGTGCTAGTCTACCATGCATAATATCCTGGGTTCCATCCCCAGTTCCACCAAAAAAAGACACTTTGGGTATTAAATATGTTATATGCCTGAGACACTAAGCAAATTTCTGAGGCTTTATTGGAATGGATAGAAAATAGTGGGAGAGAAAGCTAAACAGAAGCCAATTTACAGGCCTCTCCATTTACTCACAAAACTTCAAATACATGCAATAACAGTGGTCACTTCATTTTTTGATAGTTTTGCTCTGTCTGGGTAATGTGTCATACTTTACATAATCTTATCAACGTAGCAGATGGGAGGCAGAGGCCTAAGGAAGTGGAACCAGGATGATACAGCTAACAAACAGCTGGGCTGCAAGTCAGCTTTGTGAGACCAAAGAGCCTAGGGCTTGCTCACCGTGCTGCCCCTTTTACCTCCTACTGATGTTAAGTCAGTGAACTACCATCTGCTGCTATGTCCCAGGGCCTAGGCTCGGGGCCTTTGTTCTCAGATGATTATAATTATATGTATCTTGCAGTTCTCTGGGAGCACAGATGCTGTATAATATCTGGACATGGCCTCATATACATATATTGGCAGGGATTGGGCCTTAACTTCATTCAGGGGCCAGTCATCTTTCCCCTCCCACAGGCTCCTATCTGGAAGGCTTTATTTAGTTCTTCCCTTTGACTTGTAAGTGCTGGCTTCAGCTTGGCACATGTTTCAGGCAACTCCTGGTGTTCAGGCCATGGCCACATACTTGCCCTAAACCTAGCCTAAAATGCTTAAGTTATAATATTTGTTTGTGGCAGAGCAAATGCCAAGAACTCAGTCCTACCAACCTTCAGATTTGACCTCCATCTGATTCTCTGGCTGTGATAAGATTCCTGTTTCCTCACTAAATCAGAACATAGACCTTCCAAGAAGAAACACAGTAGTGCGGGGAGGGGGGTTCATGAAGAGTCAATCTTCCCTAAACTCCTTTCTCTTTTAGCCTTGGAACTTTTACCTGAACTTGTCTGGGGGAAACCTTAGAGACCACAAGATTACAGACTTATGTCCTCTTTAACCAACAGGAAGACTGACTGCGAGAGTGAATTCAGGTTTGTTATGGTTTAGATATTAGGTGTCCCCCAAAAGCTCATGTGAGAGACACTGCAAGATCACTCAGCAGTGAAATGATTGGGTTATGAAAGCCTTGACCCTATCAATGAATTAATCCCCTGAAGGGGATTAACTGAGTGGTAACTGAATGCAGGTAGGATGTGGTTGGAGGAGGTGGGCGTTAGGGGTGTGGCTTTGGGTATATACTTTATATGTGGTGAGTGGAGCCTCTCTCTGCTTCCTGGTGTGATGTTTTGAACCACTTTCCTCTACCACCCTCTCCTGCCATGCTGTTCACCCTCACCTCAAGCTCTGAACAATGTAGCCAGACACCTCTGGACTGAAATCTTTGGAAACAGTGAGCCCTAAAATAAACTTTTCCTCTAATTGTTCTTTTGAGGTTCTTTAGTTAGAGGAGTGGAAAAGCTCATTAAAACAAGATTCCTTAGGAAGTTTATGGTGGTTACAACTGGAACTGAGCCTCTCATCTCCCCCTCTGTGCTCTTTGAATTATACCAGATTGCTTATCCAGACTCAATTCCTAGCCCCAACCCCCCAATATTCCTCAAATTCTAAAGAGAGAAGAAAAATTGTTTTGAAACCCATGGCATCCTGAAAGACATTTTCCTAATGCCTTTGACATTTGTCCAGTTCTAGTAGCTCATGCTCTGGATCCTTTTCATCCTCCCTACAGTATGAAAGCATATTGTAGTCATGATCAGGTGCTGTCTTGGGAAAGTAGTCTGTTTTCAAGGTGAAATGTCCTACAACTCCTTAAACCATTAAGAATGGACCATATCGAGTGGGTGCTTAGCAGGAGCTCTGTCAAAGGCAAATCTGAAAAACTTTTATCTCAGTGCTGTCTCAAAAAACCTTGACCTAGCCATGTTCAATGGTGCCATCAGTAGTTCCAGCTATTGGGAGGCTGAAGGAGTAGCACTTGACCCAGGAGTTCAGGGCCAACCTGGGAAACATGGAGAGATGCAGTCTCTTAGAAGTCAAACAAAACAAAAACCACCTGACTCCTGTTCTAAGACCCTGGATAAAATGCCAGAGAACCAGAAGCTAGCCAAAGGTTCTCAACTGAGGGTGATTTTGCCTGCCAGGGGACATTTTGTAATGTCTGGAGACACTTTGGCTGTCACAACTGCAGGGAGTGGTACTAGCATCTAGCAGGTACTTCTAAACACCCCCTATGCACACAACAATCCCTACAACAAAGAATTTGTTAGCTTCAAACATCAAGTGTTGGGTTAGACACCAAGAAGTAGACTGTGATCTGGTAAAACATCCAATTTGGGGGACTCTCCTCGCTATGACTTTGGAAGAAGAGGAACCTGCCACTTTGCTCTGGATGTGAAGCTCTGAACCCCCTCTTGATGGCATCCCCATCTCCAGTCTACAGATGTGTCTCTTGCTAGGTTTCAGGGTCAAAGTGACAAAGAGACCTGCTTAGAGCCACACAGCAAGTTATGAACAGAACCAGGTTTAGAATCCTGGTGGTATTTAGTGTTCACATACTGTCTTGTTCTTACAGTTTGTCCTTCCAAAGCTCTTCGAGGATAAAAATGGCTCTCTTTTTTGTATCCTGCACTAAAAGTGCCCATCTCAAAGTAGGTGCTCTTTCAAAATTGCTTGAATTCCCAGTGGAGGGAAACAGACAACCATGGTGCTCTCGTAGCGGTCGGTACTGGCAGAAGGTAAGTGACTGCAGGATTAAAGGAAAGAGCCTAATTTTGTGCAGGAGAGTTAGGGGAAAGTGAAGAAAAGGATAGTGGGCTAGATTCACAGCTCTCCTAGCTGGAAAGGAAGATGTAGGGGAGGGAGAGGATGCTTGAGGACTGGAGGGCATTGGCATCGGGTTAGTTAAGAGAAGGGGAATGAACACTGAAATCAGAGAAAACTGGGGGAGAGAGTTCTCCAAACATGCGCCACTCCAATTATACTTAGAACAACTGATTTCTAGAGGGAAGTTAGTGTTGTCAGGTCCCTGGGTACAACCTGCAGTGACAAATGGCCCATTGTCTGGAAATACTGATTGGGCCTGTCTTCTGGGGTCACGCCAGGTGGCGCCTCGCTCACCTGTCAGGCTTGCTCTTCCTGGCCCCGGATGTGGATAAAACAATGGGCTCTAAACACATCCATACTCAGAGGCAGTAGCTGGCATCTCAGATAGGGCAAACAGGGAAATGATCCTCTTTCATGACCCCCTTTCTCTTCAGAGATCCAGAAACCCTGCTCTCAGGTTCAGCTTCCTGTTTCTTTGTCATATGACCCTGCACAAGCTCCTGAAACCACCCCAACACACATCAGTCTTCATATTGACAAAATGGGAACCATTTGAGTCTTCATTGTGTAACTCAGAGGGTTTGTGGGAGAACCAGGGTGATCAGGAGTGTGAAAGTATTTAGAGAATTGAGCCTCGACCTCTAGAGTCCCTGGGATTACAGGAGTATGCCACCATGCCCAGCTTAGTCCTGTGATTCTACTTACCATCTACATGCCCCTGAGTTTCAACTGTCCTCACCTCTGAACTCCATCCACTGCCTTCTTGGCTTCTGATCAGATATCTAAAAGGAATAACAAACTTATATCATGAAGTAGAGTCATTTTTTTTCTAATCTGAGATTAGTAGAGCTACCAATGTGATCCTGAGCAAGTCCATTCACTTCACTGGACCTTGACTTTGGGGTATAGATGATGGTGGTATTTCTCAGGCTTCCTTCAAGGGGTCATAGTGAGAATCTGAAGCAGCTAACCTTGTGAAGGTATCTGGGTGGTGCAAAGTGCTCAGTAATTTTAGTTTCCTTTAGTTATTATTATCTTGCAGTGCTGGAGATCAGACCCAGGGCCTCATGCATGCTAAGCAAGTGTTCTACCATTGAGCTACATCCCCAGCAGAGTAATTTTAAGGCATCACTATTTACACTCCCCTCATTAGAGGCCAAATGTTCCATTTTGAATGTTCTTGACAGGTGCATGGAGAACCTGGCACCCCACAGCTAGTTGAATGTTTGAGAAATGATAGATAGAAAGCAGTAGAAAGATAACAGCAAGAATTGACTTGTACATTGAATATAAACAAGTGTGTGCCCCATGTCCTAGAGCCAGAAGACAGCCCTATGAGAAGTGGATGTGTATCAGTCCTTCACATTGCAGAGAAGAAACTAAGTCTCAGGGTAGTGAAGGAAACCACCCAGATTTAATGAGCTCACATGGCACAGGAGGGATTGAATCTACCTGGATTCTTCAACCTCAAGGCTCTCCCCTTTAGAGAGAATGACACAGGGTATGGGAGACAGAAGCAGTAAATTGGCTTCAATGATAGGGCAGTCTGCTGGGAATGAGGGAGGATAGGCTTGGGACCTGGGCTCCCTATATTATAATGAAACCAATGTTCTGTTCCTGGTCACCACATTGGCGTCTGTGAGTGGTTGGCACTGGGAGGACAGGAGTGCTCCTTAGATCGTCTGACATACAGGATATGTTCTACCTCAAAGCAGAAGTGAAAGACGAAACGATTTCCCTTGAGAGACAAAAGGCAAGTATGACCACCTGTGTGATAATTCTCTTCTGCAGGAACAAGGAAAGTGACTTCCACCACTGGGAGCCAGATTGGGTGGATGACAAAGAGAAGCCGGTACATGCAGGGAACTGGATGTCCACCTCCCTCCATGCACATTTTGGGATTACATTAAGCCTGCCTGCTTTTTTGCAGTAACACAGTGATTGGAGAATACTGTTTAAGTCAGGTTTTATGATTTATATTTTAAGGGCCATTGTCCCTTATACAAGTCTCTGTGTCTTGGCTAAAATGCAGTTCACCCATCTTTAAGGGAGATTTATTTGGGTGTATTGACTCAGTATTCATGTGTTAATGCTCTTTCTCTCATCAGACTCATAATTCCCGTTATTAGTTGTATAGTATGTGCTGGGCAGGATACTGGAGCCCTGGAGTATTATGAGTATTAACAACCATCTATGCACCAGGTACTGTGGATACAGGAGAGAGAAATATATTTTTTAAATTACACAAACAGTGATTAGTATGGATTTGAAGTAAGTATAATTATAAATAGGAAGTGTTCTAAAGGCACAGGGGAGGCTACTATGAGAGGCACAATGGGAACTCCAACCTGTTCTGGGGCTCAGGGAAGCCTTCTGGACATTTTAATGATGACCCAAAGAATGGCAGAGCTGGCAAAGGGCAGAGACATTGAAGGGCAGAGAAATTCAAGACTGTGAGGACCCTGAGATTGTGAGATGGAAAGATGTATCCAAAAGGAGAGGAAGGGGCCAGTGTGGCTGAATAAGGAAGAAGAGACCAAGATCAAGTGGGTGTTACCATCTCTGCACCCACTCTCAGTCTTTGCAGACTCATAATTCCCATTATTAGTTGGGTAGGGCACATGTAGGGCACAGAAGGACTCCCTTCTCTTTTGTGTATGAAAGAAAAGGAAGCTGGATGACCTTGGGCAAGCATTCCTCTTCTCTTGGCCTGTTCCTTGTCTTTTCAGTATCAATATGTTCTCCCTCTGTGCTTAGTTATTGAAGAGTCTTTTTATAAAAAGCACTTAATACAGTGCCTACCACGTTGAAGGTGCCCAATAAGTGCAGATGTTAGGCTAACTTTTGTGATAAAGGCAGGCTGAGATTCCACATTGCCTGTTCAACCACCCTTCAATGGGTGTCTGCTGCAATTTCTTCCCAGGGCTCTTTCTAGGAGATACAATGAGGAGCCAGAAGTTGAACACATTGGCCCAAGTTCCAACTTGCTCTCTGCTGAAGCATTTTCCTGCTGTCATTTCACTGCCTTTGCCAGTCAAGTTAATGCACACTGGGAAAAGTTTCAGGTCTGCAGCTATGGTCAGCCTTAGAAGCTGTTTGACTTCTTCCCCTCCTCCCAGGACACTCCTGCCTTCACAGATCCTCAGCATTCCACCTCGATGACCTACCTAGTCAGTCTTTGCAGACTCGTAATTCCCATTATTAGTTGGGTAGTGTGTGCTGGGCAGAATACTGGAGACCTGGTGGCTGGAGATGACCAGCAGCAAGAATGCATTATTCTGTAAGGGTAGAGACACTTTGGATTCTGTCTCCTGCAGAGAGGTCACATGCATAGATCACACCTAAAGAGGTGCAGGATACTTTGCTTGCACTAAGTGTAGTTCTAATATCAATCCTTCGTGACGGGTATTACTGGCTAGCTTTTACACACACTCCCAGCCCTTTTAAATTTTTTTTAAATTTTGAAACAGAGGCTTTCTAAGTTGCCCAGGTCAGCCTCAAATTTGCGGTCCTCCTGCCTCAGCCTCTAGAATCCCTGGGATTACAGGAGTATGCCACCACACCCAGCTCAGTCCTGTGATTCTACTTAACATCTAATGCCCCTGAGTTTCAACTTAAAATCTTTAACATTAACCTCACCTAGGAACTCCATCCACACTACCTTCTTGGCTTCTGATTAGACATCTAAAAGAAATAACAAACTTATATCTATAACACGACTCTTGATTTAACTCTGCACCCACTCTCAGCTCCCATTCAAACCTGTTCCTCCCACAATCTTTCCTAATTTAGTAACTGTACCATCATCTACCTAGTTATTCAGGTGTAAAACCTTGGAATTATCCTATATTTCCTTTTCTCTCAACCCCCACATCTGATCTATTAAAAAAAAAAAACATTGTAATCCAACCCTTCTCCCCATATCCTCCTTCATCAAATGCAGCACAACCAAACTGGTCCTCCTATATCCTTTTTTCTCTTCAAAATCTATTCTCCTCACAACAACCAGTGTGCCCTTTTTTAAACATATATCAGGACTAAGTGTATAGCTGAGAAATGGAGTATGTGCTTAGCATGTACAAGGCTCTGAGTTGGAACCCTGGTATCAAACCAACTAACCAACCCAAAAAACATATACTATGCTTTTGTTACTGCCCTGCTTGAAAACCCATCAGTGACTTTCATGATTCATGATAAAATCCCAATTCCTGGTCAGGGCTTGCCAGGACCCATGGGGCCGGGGTTTATAGAAGTTTGCCTCTGTTATCATCTCCATTCTAGTTTCCTCTTACTCAGAATGATGCAGTGTCTCCTCTTTCTGTTCCCTGAATACAAGCTTGCCCCTGCCTTGGGACCTTTCCCAAGGACCTCCTCTCTTCTTGGAAGCCTCTTCCAAAGACTATGCCTGGGTTGGTTCCTCATTGTTGGCATCATTTGTTTCCATATCAGAAAGGCCTTCCCTGACATCTTTATTGAATGGTCACCACCTTCTGCCTGTCCCTGGCCACCATACAACCCTGTTGTCTCTTGCTCATAGATCTTACTGTTATTGAAATTATCTGCATTCTCTACCTGGGCATTATCTTTTCTCCTCACTAGAATATAAGTTCTGGGACTGTTTTGTTGTTGTTGTGTGTGTGTGTTTGGATTTTTTTTTTGTTGTTGTTGTTGTTTTTGTCCTGCCACATCCTCATTACTTACACAGTGTGCCTAGCATGTGATAGATGCTCAATAAGTGCTCATTCATAGAACAAACCTCAAGGATTAAAGGCCTAAATTATAGGACAATTTTATTCCAGACTCTTGTACCCATACTCTCTAATAGGGAAGCATTTTCCTGTCCTGTGAATTCTTTAAGGAAGTAATTTCTTGGGCTGGAGATGTAGCTCAGTGGTAGAGTAATTGCCTGTCGGAGGCCCTGGATTCAATCTCTAGCACTGCAAAAACAAGAAGAAGTAGAAGGAGAGTATTTTCTTTAAATACTAAGAGGTCACTCGCTTGTCTGGCAGCTCTACCACCTACTAGTTTAGCTGTGTGACTTTGGGCAAGTTTGTTAATCTCTCTGTGCCTCAGTTTTTTCAGCTATAAAGTAGGGATAATAACTGTCTACCTCATAGTGTTGACATGAGGATTAAATGAAGGAATGTGTAAAGAATACTTTAAAACAGTACATGATGTTCAGTAACATTGGCTCTATTTTTTAAATCACCATTATTATTGCCACTACCCTTGTTGTCATCAGTTTAACTCCTTGAAGAAGCAACTGGGTTTTCCTCTCTACCTTCAAATAATAATATGCTATACCAAACCATTTTTCATGCTCAGTACCCTTCAGTGGCTTCCTATTCCACCTAAAGAAAGGACAAAAACCCTTTAAATACTTTGTGAGCGAGCCCTCACTAACTTCCCCAGTCTTATCTTGCAGGCCCTTCCCTCTTGAAGTCATACTGAACTCATTGCAGTTCTTCGCATGATTTGTGCTCAGTCACACCAAGCACTCTGCCTGGAATATGCTTTCCCTCTCTTCATCTGCTTTATGTCTGCTCTTCCTTCCCATCTCAACTTTGTAATTAGTGTCTGAGCCTTCCAATGACCAGCACATTGGGGGGTTGCCCATATTTCACACTCCAGGGTGTCCTGTGCCTCTGTAGTAGCCCTTAATCATAGAAGTGAGTTTATATATATTCCTTCCCTTTGGATTAAATCTGTTCTTCCTAATAGATTCTACGTTCCATAAGAACAGAGACCAAATCATCCTTTGCTCACCTTTGTACTCCTAATGCTAGTACATTATTTTGCATATCACAATTATTTAATAAATATCTAATGAATGAATGAGTAGTGAGAAAGCCCATGTTCAGAACCGCCCCAAAAGAAAAGTTCTGCCTCTGCATACCCACTAGTATACTGTCATGGATCCTGTAAAGCCCTCCTCTTTCCATAGGTTCTACATGCTAGAGAAGTGGCTTCTAGTGGTCACAGGGCACCCATTAAGTTATAAGAGTAAGGAATAACTTTGCTCCTCTATGCCGAGACAGAAACTGAACATGAAGCCACAACACAATGGAGAAGTCTGTCTTGCTTCCTGCACTCGGCAGTCTCACTGTCTCAGAGTGTTAGACACTTTCAGCTTTTCCTTCCCTCTTGAAACAGGGTAACCACCGTGTTCTGACACTGGAGTGTTCTGTTCTGTTTTTTCTGGATGACAGTGTTTTCTTTAATGGGTTAGAGCACAGGTCCTTGCAGGCCTGGGCCAGTCCCCCACAGAGTCAACATCAGGACATGGCGAAATGAGAACAACAGGAACAATATAAGGAGTTTTCATAAAGCTAAATTAATTCTGAGATTGTCTGCCCTACTTTTTTTCTGTGTCAGCCTGCCCTTTCTTTTATGAAACCAGGGTGAGAGGAGTTGGTGACTTTTATGTCCTTGCTTATCAAAATCACCTACTTAATTTTCTTTTGAAATTTA